TATATATATATATATATATATAGATATGAAATGTTTTCAAGCAACACACTAATTTCTTAATTTGGCTACTTCTGTAATGTCGAAATTAAAGCAAAAGTGGCATCCGCTTTAATGAAAAAGATTTAGGGGCCTTTTACATTAAGACCCCGCAATTCTTATGTATTTATATTTGTACCAACTAGGACGTTTTTGCAATCATTTAAAATATATTTGTTGTAGATAAGTTATTTTTTTTGAGAAAATTGAACAATAAATATGATCGGAAATGATTTTATCTACTAATGAGTCATGATGATATGTCATACTATAACATAACATTAGTGGTGGAGAATATTTCTATTTATGATTTCTTAATAATATAAAATAAATTTTAATTCATTATGCAATTTATATATTATATTTTGTTTGAATAGTAAGAATTTTAGTTTTCTCTTCTTCTTTTTTTTAACCTTCCAATCATTGCAAATTTTTATAAACCAAAAAACTATGTAAATATTTATTAATTTTTCATTTTTTTATAAATCAAATTAAGTTATTTATTTATTTTTTTTGTGGAAATAAAGAAATTACATATATGATTTATATAATAATATATTATACATATTTACGTCTAAGCTTAAATCATAATAGTTTGTGTGGTCCTGTGATTATGCGTCTTTTATTGTATAGAAGTCGTGCATGTTCGAATTCAACACCATTCATCTATTTTTCTAATAAATTTAAACGGGTTAATTTCGAGTCTAACGTGAACACACTATTCACAAGCCATATCGATTGAGCTGAACCCGAGCTCAATCTAAGCTTGCTCCAGCTCAACTCGTTTATAGGCCTAGCCATGGGCCCATTTTTTGTTTTGTGAGCTTTATTAATCATTAAAGAATTCATGAAGACGAGAAATTCTCTTAGAAGATTTATATCTAGTGTTTATAAGATGTTTGTATACTTGGAATGTAGGTTTTGAGTAAAAGAAAGTAAGTTATAAATGATATTTTAGAAGAAAATAATTATAATAAATTATGGGTAGTACACCAAAAATATGTTAGCACAAATCTTGTGGAAACCTGATAGGCCAAAGAAGGCGTGATCAAAGTAGACCCACTAACGATTAAAGTATAGAACATGTGATCCAGAGACCTGTCGGCTCAGTTTCTTCGGAGCAGAATTCAAACTCGATCAACATACCACAGAAGCCGATTGGCCAACGATGACCAGCCGATCAAAGATTTTGTTGACCGACATATAGCTTTAGTCAGCCCACCATTTGAACACCCAATAGAGCCTGCCAATCAGCCTATGATCGATCCAAAGATTTTCAGCTGCAGTTGGCCGATCGGGAGAAAGAGGTGAGCTGAAGACTTATTTATTTATTTATCTATGTGTATTTACTTTTGACTACATTATCCTGTAACGTCTCTAATAAGACATGCGCAAGCAGATGCTTATACTTTTTGTATCCCCTCCTTTTGTCTAGGGGGTCATTTTTTATAATAAAAAATGCTAATGTATTAGTGACAAAAACTCTAGAAGCTTTAATTTATCGTGTACTTTATCTCTATCTATCTACCTTGTTCTAAGGACAATCTTATGTATTTACATATTTACTGTCTAAATTTTAAGTTTTTTATATTTATACCACTCAGCTCTCTCATTTCAATATATATATGTGCTT